ACGTAAACTTGGGGGTGTCCTACCGGGTATTTTCCAATTTTGTTGACGAAAGGGGACAAAGATGTGACATCAAGATATTTGATTTTTTCGGTGCTTGTGGTGTCGTAGAGTGTTAAATAATTTTCTGTACGACCGCCAAAGAACGCTTCACGGGGGTTCAATTCTGCATTTTTCATTAAAGAGTGATTATTTACGGAATCGCGGTCTGGTACACATTTCTATCAAAGATGATCCCAAGATGACGAATCTTATTAGCCGTCAGCACGGTGGTTTCATACCTGATATCAAGTGAGTCCCCTGCACGTAACTTCCTATGTCTGTTTATTTTATAACACGTCGTATACCCGTGCCAGAAACATCCGTAAAATTGGAAGACACACTTCTGCTGATTTCCATTTTCACAATACCCATCGACCATAATACCACATGATAAGCGGTATTCTTTAGCATTACCGGTATGGATAGTACGATTTCCGGAAAGTCTTTGCTGCAGCAATAACCACGATATAGCTTTCTTTGACTGTACGTACCACCCAATGGTAAAATTCCGATTGTATCAGCCCGCATGAAGTTGGTTCTATAAACTTTCGAGCATATTGCGATAGTGCTGCATTGAGTGAACGGACAAATACCTGTCTTTTTTAGCAGCATTTCACGAAAAATTATACATGCACGTCTCAGAATGGTGACATCCATTTTGCAGTAAAATTCTAGCTCATATTTGAAATTGAAAATATAATTCTCATTTGATTTTTCGTTGTGCCATTCCAATAATTTGTCACGATCTTTTTTGAACATGGTGTTGGGAGAAAAATAACACAAGCTTGGTAACGGTCCTACGTAATCAATATTTTCAGGCACATTGAAGAAGTGTGGGAAATACGCTTTGGCTGTGTCGTTATCGAAACCGAATGATTTGGGTAATGCTGACAATGGCATGTGAAAGTAATTCAAACTATCCAGAAAAGTTATGTTACCGACACGCATTTGCAGTATTTTTGTACCGGTTAAGATAACATTCGGGAGACTTGTTCTTTTGATGTTGACTAGATATCGAAAAACAAAGAGCGTAGCGAAGCTACGCGCGTTATATGCAATACAAATTACTTATATACCTTTACCTATACCTTTCATCTTAAAATTATGGTATTTTTTACACGATTCAGCTATGATTTCCAACCGCTGTCCTGGGGTCGTATATCCTCGTTGAAATCCGTTTTGCCTCCAATTTCTACATTTTGGCGTTGAGCCTCTGCCGCAGATCTCTTCACTGCTCCGCCTATTTGGTGATCTACGGTAAATACGCGTCGTAAAGTTACTTTTTATAATTGTAATGTGTAATGGCTCACTTTTGAATAGTTTAATAAGTGTTTATTCTTCATCATTCTCGTAAGTATAGTATCGATACCCAGAAATGTCTAGAAATAACACCCAGGTAATTTTTCGTGTGAGCAACTAAAAGTTACACGATTTAAATACTCAAGATATAATCATACCGCTAATGTTTTGACCCTCTTCAGTAGTATCTTCTCGTAGACCACGGATTGCTGAAAAGCTATCTAAGTTAACTTGACAGCGTCGTAGCAAATTTGCCTCCTCCGTCTCAATACCGTCAATGCATAAGTCCTGATCACTATCAGAAGAGTAGCATGAACCACATTCGTACATTTCTGCAGGGTCTGCCTCAGGTATGCCTACTTTTCTGATCATCTGTGCCTCTCTTCTTTCTCTCAATTCTAATCTTCTTTCTACAGCGATACTATGAGTCGTCCACGAGTCATCCTCGCTATCCGTATCAGAATATTGTTGCATGCCGGAAGGCCCCGGCTGCGGGGAGGATGAACGAACATTAGCTAAGAGGTATGTGTGTCTTTTCCTTTTTATTGGGCCGGTGAATAACGTATCCTCAGCGGATCGCTGTTGATGGTGAGGAATTACCTGCTCATCATCGTCATCCGAGGATGCTGAGTCTTCGAGACCCTGTTCTTCTCTTATTCCTACGTAGATAGTCAGTAGTCAGATAGTCAGTGTATTGTAACCGTGAAATACACAAAGGGATAATGAAAAGGAAATACTTACTCTTGAAATATTCTAAAAATGATGATAAACAGCGCGCATCTTGTTTGCGAGAACACTGAAGGGCACGAGTGACAACCCGCAAAATTCCTCTAGATGATGTTAAGAAACCCTGTTGATAAGCCTGAGATAGTACTCGGCAGGGGGTGTGACAAACAATTCGCTCCAATATTCTGTTTAATGTTGCGCGTGATAAACAATCCCAATATTTCGTTCGTTGATCGAAGAATAGTTCCTGATAAGGCTGTACTCTATCGCAAATGAACTCAATCAGTTGCAATAAGAAATAAAGGTGTCGTCTATTTTTTCGGTAATCTTTACAATCCATTGCGATCGTTTCGAAGAATGTTCCCTTTGAACCGTAAAGCGACGAATGACGCGCACAAACAAATATCGACGCAAATATAAGACATCTGATGAGCAGCAGTAGGCGACAGTTTTATAAATATGATCTTCGGATCGAGCACAAAACATAAAACTGCGACTGTGAAACACGTGGTGCATGGTCAGCATTTTTAAAATCGTTGAAAATCACACAATCGGTGATTCACGGATAGAGTTACACGCTTATGTGTTCTTATGAATCATTATCTGCGATCAAAACTGCAAATTTTATAACACATGCTATAACGGTCAGCAACCGGGAGACGATGGAAAAAGTCATGATAGAATTACAGGCGTGTATCATTTTGTTATAACTCACACCAAAATCCGTAAATTTTTAAGGAATCAAGGCAGACAAAGCAACTACTACTATTGGCTAATCTCTTAATCACGTCAATGGGATTGGCTGCATTGTGGGAGGCTGATAAGTGAGAATAGTATATATTTGAGGGGTTCTCAAGAATTGTCAGTATTCTTTCAACGGTCCTGGTGTATGTATGGTTGAGTTTCCTGAAAGATTTGAGCAATTAGAGGTATGTAATCAATTTGTGAGTTTCGTTCGTAAGTCTGTCTCTATTTCACGACGGCAATTTGTGTACATTTTTTCATTACAAAAGATCTTTCGAAAAATGGCTGAGCGAAGTATCAACAAAATCGCCCGATGCCTGAGTCTCCCCGTTAAAAGGATTCATGATCTAACCCTGGGTGTGGATTATCAGATTACTGCATTTAAAAGCGTCAACACTAAACATGGTAGAAGAATCGTGGCGACTCTGGTTGCTGAGCACGACATTTTCCTGTCTGCACGTGTATCTGCAGCACTTTTGGACGATCACGAAGAATACATCTATCATAAGACATTGCTTGTAGAGGGCCGTTTATCTATACGTTTTCTGGAGGGCCCTTATCACCCGTGTGAATTCATATATAAAGATGTTTAATTTTTGTATACATCAGCGTTCAAATTGATTGTATAATAAACGGATATACAGTATGGAGAGCAATGTTTTTGCCTTTAGCATTTCATTTCGTTATTTACACCCTCATACATTCTCTCAGCGTCTTCATTACATTTGTTCCGAACGGTGACGGGTAGGTATATCACTTTTCAGTTGACGCTGAGTGAAATAGAGAAAAAGATGGGCCTCATTTTGCTTACACCTCAAATTGAGGAACTCGGGATGTTAGGAGGGGTCTTTGTGTATGTCGATCATTTAGACACTCATCCGACTCGGTGGCGTACTGTTCGATCGGTGTTAGATTTTTAATGGATTTGGGAACAACCCGGAGATCTATGAGGTTACGAAGGAGAAGAAGGCGTGAGGTTGAGTAGTGTGAGGCTGATTCGACGACGAGAAAGTAGGATTTTCGGATTGAAAACGAGGTGGAATCTGTTGAATTAATAGTCGCTGAGCTTGAAAGGGCTCTTAATAATGGTCGTGAGTATATATTAAGTGTGACGGAAGGCTATTTAGTGCGGACGGCTGCATTAAAGGCTTTGGTGCGAGAATTAAAACGCGATATTAGAGACAATATAGAGTTTTCACCGTAAAAAAGATGCGTCTAAATGGGAAAAATTTTCGATATCCCCCTGGCTGCGCATTCATGATTCATGCAGTCTGTGATAGTCACTCAGAAAGGGTGCCTGATACAACAACTCGTGACGGGCCTTGTGGCCATACTCGACAAACCTATGAGATCGAGTATTATGGCGGCGAGGTCGTGCGTGAGGGGGTGGATGAGATAGTACCACGTGCGAGCAAGCCAGAAAATGGTAAGATTCCAATTGGAATTATTGGTATATATTAGAAATGCGTGATAGTGATTCATATTTATGTTGGATTACAGATACGAGGCCGGTTGACGTTCCGTCAGTGAAACCCTGCTGGGTTGTGTTACAACGGCTATCGCGACGGCAAATAGTTAGCTTCAAATTACCAAAACTGAAGCGATGTGCCCCAAGAGAAAGGTGTTCATCATGTACGCGATCTCTGGAAGAGGAGCTGAAGAGGGAGCGTACCCTTCAACCACCATCTTTGAGGATGATGCTGCCTATGGTGTATGGAAACGCTCCGAAGACCAGACGCGGCAGGCCTCGAGAAATGCCGAAGTTGTTTCTCGCCGCAAAATAATTTCATTCATTCGTTTTTTCACAACTCGTTTTTATTATATAATAATCTTGTCCGTAGTTTAAACCCTATCACTCATGACAATAATAATAATTTTACGTTTATTTATTTGTTAATTATCTACTTGTTATAAAATATAATTATTTAAATTAAACGGTATTATTTTTTTCAATAAAAAAAAACGGTCTCTACTCGTCTGTGTAGATACCATGATTCGCAAAGTACGCACGTCTGGAGCCGGTCAGTCTGACCTTCGCCGCCTAGGATGTGTTACCGTGGAGAAGACGTCAGAGTACGTGCAAAACTGTAAGATCAGCACATTGTTTCATAGTGAGTAGTCAACTTGGTGACCGGGGACTTAAGTCAGGCAGCGATTATTTTTCAGTCTCTACCGAAGCGCGACCGCGAGAAGTAGTCCGTAGTTTTATGTGATTTCGTGCCCAAGCCTGGATTATTCTGTGTGTTGTGTTGTGTGTGTGTTGTGTTGTGTGCATCATGAGGGTTACTGGACCAAATTTTGTGGCCCCCCTGAGTACCACCACCACAGCCGAGGATGAGCCGACACCCTCTACCAGCGGGTGCCACCCTAGTAACACCATTATAACTCGCCCCATGACTGGTCTTCGTCGTCGTCGTCGTCGACGTCATCGGTGGATCCAGGGGACATCGTCTGGACGCCAATCGGAGGTACCGTCCCCATTAAAAAGAACGACAGCCGTCATCGATGAAGGAGTGGTCCTCCTCACCTGGGCTAGTGGCAGTGCGATGGGCCATTCCCGATGATCATCCCTCCGGGGGAATATTCCCGGGACCGGATGGCCAGCTGGTTGGCCACAGAGAGGACCGAGCTCGATGACTGGGACGCCGAAGACGAGGAGTTGGCCCAGGTGTCACTTTTCGGCGAGTCCGACGAGGATCGGGACATAGACGAGCTTTTGGGTACGGAGTGGTAGGGTGTGACAGTGCTGTCAACTGAGTGAACGTTTTTAGTGTTAGAATAATATTTTTGTGACTGAGTGATTTGGTGGACTCGGGATAGTGTAGTGACAATACGTGACAATGGGACCATTGGAGATGTGGAGGGGATTTATTGGAGCCTGTGTGTGGAGAGTAGTGCAGCATAAGGTCATGTGCAATTATCATATTTATTGGTGCGTGGGGTAAAACGGGTCTTTTGTATGTGACGTTTGAGTGAGGGGCAAAACGGGAATCGCATTTAAATTTCAATGACGCTCGAGCTGGGTTACGCACTCGCGATACACGTTGTCGTACCTCACCACACATCCGAACCACGATATTCCGATCGATGTGCTGGTGGAGTTATTAAAACCTATACAGTGGTGGGGGGATCAAA